ATTTCTACCAAATGAAATGTGGGCAAGTAATTATTTCCTGTGATAAGGGAACATCTCAACTGAGGTAAATAAAGTGTGATGATATATCCCAACAGTAACCTCTCCTATCCCTGATTTGGCTCTCATTCCCATTTTTTAACATCTGACCATGTATTATTGGCTATTATTGCCATGTGGCCATAGTTAGTTATTATAGACAGTACTATCTGGGAAAGAGAACTTATAATATTCCTCTTATACAGATAAATCAGAAGAGTGATATTTTCAGAAACAAATTATTTCTAAGTCCCTGTTTCCATTGTACTGATCAAATGATTTGATTGGAATCCTTTCCTGATGTTAAATCTCTTTATAGGAGTGTAAGTGCATCATCAACTTTAAATAAGTAGAAATCCAGGTATTGAATATTGAGTTTTATTTACAGCAATATATACTTATACAGTATTTCGGAGTTGCTGAGAAGAGAATTTGGGCTTGTGCTATATTCAGAATTTAAGATTATTAAACTGTGTAATCCACAGGGGGGAGGGAGACATAAAATGAAACTGAAGAAACTGAATTTATAGGGCACTTTTAAAGCAGTGAGCAGTCAGGAAAAAAATCTAATCTTTTATAGTGTTATTTTAATTTTAAGCATCCAGATTGAATTTTATTGAAGAAATAAGTCAGTCTTTAGATGGCTATGAGAATGAAAATGGCTTGGGGAGGGAGAATGGGGGATAAAACCAAATAAGAAAATACTCTTCCTAGATTTGGCTATGGTAGTTTTACTCATTTTTTGTTTTAATGATGAGATTCAGCCTTTGGGTGTACCTACACTTATCATACCAGCTTCATATTTCAGAATATCCCCAGGCAGTTCTGTAAGTACGTGAAATATGCTAAGTCTCTGTGACCAAAATGTGTTTGATCCTTTCTGTGGTCAGATTAGCCAGTCTGTGATGAACTGAATATATTCCAGCTACAGACGTTGGTAATTTTCCTGGGTCAAGGAAGTAAGTCTCCTATTTCAAAATTATTTCCTAGGCAGTTGATTGTTTTACTTTATCAGGCTTACCATAATATCAGACAATTTGTAGTCATTTTCATCTTTTATACTTCGTGGAAATAAGACTACTACTTTTGCAGATGTGATGGGAGAAATAGAAAACATTTTTCATTCATCCCATTCATTCATTTATTCATTCATTGACTGTAAAGTATATTAACGCTATTCTGAGATCAAGATACCTAGTGGTTAGAAATGAACAATCTACTTCCTATTTTATTTCAAATATTCTAACAGTTTTTGTTACACGAGAAATACATGGGACATCAGGGACCCTCATAGAGTTCTTCCAAGGGCATTTTTTTGACTGATATGGAAGTGCCCTGTTCTGACTTCTGAGCCTCTTTTATTTGTCATTGTAAATAGGCATTAAATTAGCATCTCAGCTCCGTGTTTATGGAAATACTTACAGTAAAGAAGGGGCACAAGGACTGCTCCTTTCACCCCAGCAGCTTCCCTTTGATGGGACATAAAGGACAAATATTGTGTACATTCACCTGGCACAGAGCAAGCTCCTCAGGCAAGCAGAGTGCCACCACCAAGAGCCCTGCGTTTGGTTTCATGCTCTGCTGTCACCATTTTGGCACGCTTCATAATTTATGAACCAGAGGCCCTGCGTTTTAATTTTGCAATGAGCTCTGCAAATTATTTTGTAGGTCCTGCCCATATAACACTTGTTCTTTTTGGCTGTGTTGGTCTGTCGTTGCCTCCAATCACACGTCGTCAATATGTCCACTTTCTCTTCAAATAAAAAATATAAGCTAATAAACTTTTATTGATGCTAACGAAATGGTTTTTAAAATTATCTTCAAAAGTACTGTTTCCTATGGTACGTTCATGACATTGATTTTTAATAAAGCTGTGAAAAGTATCCAAGTAGATTTCTAATAATACAACTTTTTCTTTGGTGGGTTTGTTGTTATTTATGTTTGGGGCCATGTAATTCATAGTTAGTAGTTTGGGTTTTATGCTTTTTTATTTTTATTTTTTAAGATTGTTGAGTATACTACTTGGCTTATGTTTTTTTAAAGTAAAAATTTGCCCTGACCAGTTTGGCTCAATGGATAGAGCGTCGGCCCGCAGACTGAAGGGTCCTGGGTTCGATTCCGGTCAAGGGCATATGCCTGGGTGACATGCTTGATCCCTACTAGGGGGCATGCAGGAGGTGGCCGATCCATGATTCTCTCCCATCGATGATGTTTCTATCTCTCTCCCTCCCTCTCCCTTCCTCTCTGAAATCAATAAAAATATATTTTAAAATAAATAAATAAGGTAAAAATTTGAAAAAAAATTCAATTGAAATATGTTTTTCAATTTTTTACCTTGGATAGTAAGCAGCTGTTTTGCCCAAGCCTGAGTAATCGAGCTTTAAGTTACAAATGGAGGCATTTGCTTTGGAAGCTTATCCTGTTGTGGTTATGTAAGATATTGCGCCTGGAACTGTATGGAATTAAAAATGATGGCACTCAAAATCATATTATTAATCACTTTTAGAAGACAGTTTCTGCTGTTTTTGCGCCACCCAACATGTTCAGTCCAGGGGTCTCCTTTGTGCCTCCGGGGTAAATGGAGTTTTCATTTTTCTTAAGAGAAGCACTGAGTGTTTGCTCATTGGCTTTTAAAGCTGGGTCCCAATACTTTACTCTTTACACATATTGAAAAAAAAATTCAAAGGGCCATGTTTCTTTGTTCTCATCCAAGCCCACAATTAGCTGAAGTTCCATTCTGTGTAGCTGGAAGGAAGAGGAAAGGGGTGGCCCAACAAGCACTTTACTGCCTGTGAGAAAGTGCTCCTCCAAGTTTTTGTCCTTTTTGTCAGGGACGGCTGCCTCCCTAATTGTACTGCTGTAGGGAAGCGCGTGCCTCTGGGAGCATGGTCTGATTCCCACAGGCCATCAGAAGCACTGTGTATACTGACCCTTCATGTGAACACAAATAATAACTTTTCAACCCCCTTCCCCGGCTCTTGCCAAGGCCTTGGAAACCTCACAGCTTTCCTTTGGCCAGGGGTTTGGATGCTTTGTATGGGTCTCAGGTTGTATTGTTTTTTCTCCTCTAGTTGTCTTACCTCCAGTTTTGCTGCACTTGTCAATTGAGGAAACAAGGTGGAGGAGAGGGGAGGAATCGATGTAGAAGTCAGAGGGGAGAAAAGGCGCGACAAACAGCTGCTCTTGTCAGCATGGGGATAAGTGTAAAGAGATTAATAGTCATTTGAAGAGCAAATGGGGACGTGGCATTCGGCAGTGGAATGCGAATGTATAAATGTACTGGAATGAGCAGGCGACCGTTAACATTTAGACAGATGCTCTCTGGACTGAATGGAATGGCAGAGTCCGTTTGTCCTCCCACGTGAAGTGAAATGCAGAAGCCTTAGTAAAATACTTTTACTCAACGTTAATTTAATTCAATTTTTTTAAGCATCTATTTCTTTGTGAGTTTGTCTGACTTAGTCTGGAACTCTCAGAGTTATACAGGGTAGGGCAAAAGTTGTGAGAACACCAAACAGAGTTTATTCTTGCATTCTTATTTATTAATTGCTGAATTTTCCATATGAACAACTGTAAACCTCCTTTTGCCCCACCCTGTATATCAACTGAAGAGCCAGGCAACTCTTTTCCTTTATAAAATAGGAACCACAGTACCACAGAACTGCCGCCTTCTTCTTGTCTTCGGTTTGTCTTCCCTTAGTTAAGTGGTGGTAACAGTGAGATTTCCGTGTTTCAGAAGGTCTCACAAAGGGAAAACGGTACACTAGGCCCTTCTGGAAATGTGTCCACTTTGACTCAGGTTTAGGAGTGACTGTCAGGTTTAGTGATGACTATTGTGATGTTGTGGGCAAGGCCCTAGACATGGAATCAGAAGATTTGGTTTCAGAATCCCCATTCTTTGCTTATTAGCTAATGCTTGAGCAAATTACTCCCCTTCTCTCATAGTCATACAGTAAAGTTGTCTTGCAGATTAAATTAGAAGAAATTCATTCTTTCCATTAACATCTTATTGAGTCCCTCCTCTGTACTCAACTCTGTTCACATCAACATCTCTGGCAGAAGAGCTGCATGAGCGAAAGGACTTCTAAATTACATCCAACATAGAATTTTAATCATCACTATATTGTATTTCTCTTACACATATTCTATTCTATAGAAAATAAACTGCTAGGAAATGAAAGGACAGATAAAAAAATAGGTTGTGTTTGGATGATATGCAGGCATGTCACCTTTTAAAATATCTAGGTGGCTCTCTCTAACCCTACTACCCATGCCCTCCAGGCTTTATGAAACCAGCCTTTGGGGGAGCACTGGATACCCTGGGACAAATTTAGAATTACAAAATGATATAATGTATATGCCCCATATACAATAATTTGATGCTTAAATCCCCTCAAGAATATGTCTACCCAGTGGTCTTTCTCATTCTGAACACCATACAGAAGGAAAGAAAGGAAAGGGAGAGCAGGCCGTATTCATTTGTTTTAAAGAATTCCTAAGCAGCTACTCAGTACTGGGTACTTTTGGCCTCATTTGTGAATAAGCATATTCTACTTTTTTAAATTAAATATATCGGTGTGACATTGGTTAATAGGATCATATAGATTTCAAGTGTGGATTTCTATGTTATAAGATCTGTATATTGCACTGTATGTCTACCCCCTAAAGTCAAATCATCTTCTGTCGCCATATATTCTACTTTCAAATACTCTTGGGAAGACCACAGTCTCCAAAGCCACATGCTAAGAGGCATTGATCTGTTCAGATCAGTACCACACAATCACACACACGCATGCCGGAGACGTTTCTTATTTCTGATTGTGTGACACCAATTGGACATTTTACCTTGAACATTAGGGACCTGAGGTGGAACTCTGTAGAATGCATGCACTGAATGATGCCTTTTTTGAAGCAATGATCTGCAGCTTAAATGGCTAACATTGAGGTTTCTGGGTGTCCTGCAGCCACAGTACACGAACCTGGGGCTCCTGAACAGCATGGACCAGCAGATTCAGAACGGCTCCTCATCCACCAGCCCCTACAACACAGATCACGCGCAGAATAGTGTGACGGCACCCTCGCCCTACGCGCAGCCCAGCTCCACCTTTGACGCCCTCTCGCCATCACCTGCCATCCCCTCGAACACTGACTACCCGGGACCGCACAGCTTCGACGTGTCCTTCCAACAGTCCAGCACCGCCAAGTCAGCCACCTGGACGGTAAGAACACCCAGAGCTAATAGATGGGCCATTAAACCTGACCCCCAAGTACCAGCGTCATCTTCAACACCCCCATGGATTCCTCCCCATCCAAAGCTGAGTGATCCATATTGGCATGATGGAAAATTTCTCCCTGTCCTCTAGGGACATTTTGTTCTTGAATATTTAATACTGAACCAGACACAGAAAATGTGCCATTGAGTAGGAGAAGCCCCGATCTGAGAACCGAAGGCTGGCTCCTAGCAATTTCAGCCTGTGTGTTCTTGCCTGGCTCATGCTGTTGGGAGGTCTTTTGTGTGAAAATTTTTTTGAAAAGTGTAAAGCATTATGCCAACAAGAATGATCATAATCATAGGATATGTGTCTGCAGTCCCCTGAATGGAGGATGGTTACCAGGTTTATTATTTCAAAAAAAGTAAACATTAAGGTGTGATTTTTTTAATGAATAAAATCACAAACACAGCATCTATAACAAGAAATTAAAATTTCATTTACTAAGGAGGGGATAAATTTGTTTATACATGTAGGTTCTATAACATGGATTATAATTTATTCATACATGTATATTTATTACTTAGGAGCATTTTTCCCAAAAGGAAACCTCTAAAACTATCAGAGCCCGGAACTAGTCCAAAAATATTCTGATTTAAAACGCTGAAAAAAAAAAACCCACACACCTTTTCATATATAGCTTTTATAGGAAAATATAGAAATATTTTTAAAAATTCAAAAGGTACGCCGAAACCGGTTTGGCTCAGTGGATAGAGCGTCGGCCTGCGGACTGAAAGGTCCCAGGTTCGATTCCGGTCAAGGGCATGTACCTGGGTTGCGGGCATATCCCCAGTAGGAGATGTGCAGGAGGCAGCTGATCGATGTTTCTCTCTCATCGATGTTTCTAACTCTCTATCTCTCTCCCTTCCTCTCTGTAAAAAATCAATAAAATATATTTTTTTAAAAAATTCAAAAGGTACAAGAATGTTCAAAGTTTATTTTGTAATGGATTATAATATGAATAGAGCTCAAATAAAAGGGAGGGGACTGACAAGACTGGTTTCAACCGATTGATCAAAGACTGCCCAATCCCAAAGTGGTGTGCATGTTTGTTAAAAAATTTAATGTTTGCATGGATTATAGAAATGCTTCCAAATATCATCATCTTGTTGAGAAGTAGCTTTAGAATTGTCTTAACAGTTTTTTCCTCCTCATTGGAAATCAGGTTTCTTGGGGAAGCAGTCTCTTTTTGTGTTATAGTATCCTGCTCACTGCAGGTGTTAATCCAGTGAACAGAGTTTATGTAATAATCTGCACTCGTAACATTGCGTGCCAACATAATTTCACATGTGTTCTCATTTTGACCTCACTTCTGTGTGAGCCAGGTGGGACATGTTGGATAACTTCCATTTTACTTGTGAGGAAAGCTAAAGAATGTGGAGGTTAGATGACATCCCTAAGTTACAGAGGCTTTTGTGTAGCCAGACCTATTTCTGATTCTGCCCCCCCCCCCCACTAGATTGATGTGCTTTCTTTCCTCATCATTTCACATCAGGATGTCCCAAAACCATTTAAAAATTTGTTGTAGGGCTTTTCTTTCATGGTTTGAGAAGCGGTTCTGTCGATATTTCAACCATAATGTCTACTAGCTTAACACTTGATCTTCCCTCCATGTGTTATTCATCAACTGTGTCATAATCTTTAATCTCTTTTATAGTAATAATCCTGGTGTTGGACACTAAAGGTGAGTAAACGTAGAGTCCATAGACCTCAAATAAGCATCGGTTGGTCAATGGAAGTGATCTTTTGCTAAAGAACCAATCAAATAACCATTTTATAAATAGAGTACTAATGTTTTTAGAAGAAGTGTCAGCAATTGGACAGTTACAATCACTGTTGTTCAAGGCTAACTGTATTTTGTTTGGCATACTCAGGCAGAGTTCTACTATATTAAGTGTGGGCACATCTGAAGGGATAGTGGGCATATTGGGCCCCTAAGTCATTAATCACTTCTCTTGTAAAATGGTTTAAGAACTTTGGGGATGGAGCTTGATACAGGTACAACATTATATCAATCTTCTTCCCTCTTCCCTTCCTCAGTACCTCCTCATACAGAAATCTGAAGATTTCTTTTTTCAGATTTAGCATAACCCTCAACTATCTTTAATCATAGCCTGTCTTTCATAGAAGTAAATTATATCACAAAGAAACGTTGAAGATTTCTACCAACATGGTCAGTTAAAAAGAAAATAAACATTTTGCAGAACACCCTAGTAGAATTTCCTGATGTGGCAACAGTGAGATCAGTACCCCAAGAAAGAGGGTAGGAACTGTGGTAATGGGAGCAGAGCACAGGGCAGAGGCCAGAAAGCCAGGATTCTTATTTGGATTATCTTTGTGACCTTAGCCAAGTCACTTCATCTCTCTAGAATTCAGTCTGTGTCCCAATAAGGAGTATTGTGAATGTATTTTATGCAGTAAAATATTCAGCTAAAAATTGTTAAATTTATAAATTTAATGTTTATGTATTTTCCCACAATAAAAAAAAAAAAAAAAAAAAAAAAAAAACATGAACCTAAAACAGCTGGGAACCAACTTCTTGGTTACATGGCCCATAAATTCCTTTTTGGTTAAAAAAATGATTATGGTGAAACCTACTCTCTTTCCTTAAGGTGAGATAGTATTAATAATGAGAAAACACACACACACACACACACACACACACACACACACACAGTTTTTAGAAGGACAGGTTCTCATGAGATATTTGGCCTGCCATTAATGAATGACCTTGGTTGAGCTATTTTATCTTTCGTTGGTTCAGTTGTGTATAATCTACTCTATAAATTTTACAGAATAAGGTGATTGAATTAGAGGTCTTTTTTTTCCTATGACTGTATCACATGGTGTTTATGTTTTTATTAGTTTTTTCTTGTTTACAATCAAATTTACTTTAGGCCCAGATACATACATTTCTTCTGAATCGAAGGCTCGTTAATCTTTATCTGAGTAGCTGCTGAAATCACCTAAAAAGATATAAGTTCTCAACCTTGCACACCAGTGTCTCATATACAGCAGCATTTGACCCTTTGAGTCAAATTATGTATCCTCACATTTATACATAGACCTCACATTTTTAAAGTGTTTTCTTATAGGTTTATCTTATTTAAACCTCATAACCAAGGCTATTATCCCCAGTCTTATTAATGAGGAAACATCTAGAAGTAATGGTTCATGTCTAATACTCAGCCAAGGAGGGAGAGGAACCCAGGCCATCTCACTCCCAGGCCCTCTCTCTCCACTGTCCTATCTAGACTGTCTTCCCTCTTGATTAATAGAAGGCAGGGATGTACAGGGACCAGTGGGCCCCATGGAGTATGGAGCAGATGTTAAAGGACACTGTAATGCCATGTTACACAACATCTATTTTTTAGGTATCTCTGCACTTTAAAACAATTTTTCAAAATAAAATACTATATTTTAAAACTTCCCACAAACTGGAAACAGCAGAAGCCACTGTCACTAGGAAGAGGCCACACTTATTGCACAGTATTCTGCTGATACTTCAATAACAATCTTTTTAGTATCATTTTATCACTTGTCATCCTTCTGTGTTGAGTTTTCTCATTTACTTTCTGGTTTACTTAGGATTACTGCCAAAATATAATTAATGTATTTAAAGCATATATGCATATTTTATTTGCTCTCTTTGTGTTTTGAGTAACAAGTGTGGTTGTGTTTCCAGTTGCAGAAAAATATGGTATTTTATTTTAAACTTCTTCCAATGAAATAAAGCATGATAATATTCCATTTTCTCTATTTCACATGCACACACACACACACACACACACACACACACATATCAACACTGAGTTTATGATTTAGTTTCAGACTTTCTTATTATGTCTACAGTGTAATTGCCACTAGTTAGCAAAGCCTACCATTTAATTTAATGGATTGCCGGTCCAGCATTGTAGCCAGGAGTCATCAGTCAGAGGACAGTTAACAGAATGATAATTTGGAAATGGCAAGGAACTTGGGTGCAAATTTTAACCTTGAAATTTACTAACAGCACATTGGGACATGCCCAAAGAATTCAATCTATCTAAACCTCCCTTTCTTCACCTACAAATGGAGATGTTAATACTTTTCTTATCACGAGGATTATATGACATGTATAAGGATACCTACCAGTACCTAACTAGTCATGGGCACACAAATGTTTAGAGAGTCTGAGTTTGAATCCCTTTGTTTCATGAGTTTGTTAAAGTTTTGTTGAGGGTTCATTTGTACAAGTAATAATCTGAAATAATGCAAAGCAAAATTTTGTCTACTTTTTTTTTCTTAGTGCTTTTGGGTTATTAACATGCATACGGCAGTCTCCAGGGACTGTGATAATGTCCACTATTCAAATATATGAATAGATGACAGGATAAGAACAGGCTCTTCCATGGACAGACTTCAGGCTGGCTGTGCTCCTGTCCTAAGCCTGCCCAAGCAGCTCAAGGATGGGCCCTTTACAGATTTCAGGATCTGTCGACTTTGGCATTTATTTCTCATTTTTATTTTGCTTTTTATTATTTTTACTTTTTTTTTTTAATTGATTTCAGAGAGGAAGGGAGAGGGAAAAAGATAGATAGAAACATCAATGATCAGAATCATTGATCAGCTGCCTCCTGCACGCCCCCTACTGGGGATCGAGCCTGCAACCAGGGCATGTGCCCTTGACCAGAATTGAACCTGAAACCCTTCCGTCTGCAGGCCAGCACTCTATTCACTGAGCCAAACCACCTAGGGCTTATCTCTCATTTTTTACCTTCCCCTTAATGTATGGGGATACCTTTTTTATTCCCCAAGTTAAATAAAAGATAACAGTGAGCCACTGTTGTTGAAGAGTCAGCATTTTCATTTGTGGTAGCAAAGTACTGTAGACAGCCTAAACACTCCCCAGGGGAAAACTGGTTCAATGAACTGTGGCGTATCCACATGGCAACATACTCTATGTCCAT